AGGAGGAGGGAACAGCGACGTCGAGCAACAACCCTCGAATACACTTAAGTGGTTTGGCCAAATTTCTACTCTCGGGCCCAACCTGCACACGCAGGCTGTTTATGTAGAACGGACGGCAGGTGCGCAACCCTCGTACGACAACGTGAATGCCAAACAATATGGCAGGCCTTTCGTAGGGTTAAAACCCCCCTTGAGCGTTTGTCGGAGATCGGATTACTGCCACTCGTAAGTGACAACGCGTGGTAAAGGACATTCCGTATGGTGCGCATGAAGGCAATGGCCGACCAGGAGATGAATCCGAGGTTACTCCAGAATGCGGATGACGAAGTGACACAAATAAGGCAAGTGCACAATGACAAGGTTTAGTTGGCTTCCGGTAAGGAATGGAAACTGTAAACGAAGGATAACCGTAGATGCCAATTAAGTGTGGATTACAACCACCGTTGCAAGCAGCAGGGAGGGGACTGTGGCAATGGGAATTGATTTTCCAAACGTCCAACCTGACCCGAACCCCTAACACTAACACTAGCCCCTACCCTAACCCTAGTCATAACCGTAAACAGAGCCCTAATCCTAGTCCTAACTCTTATCCTAACCGTTGCACTCACTCCAACCCAAACCGTAACCGTGGCCCTAAACCTTATCTTAATTCCAACCCTAACACCAAAACTAAACCGCAATCCAGACCCTAACTCCAACCGGAACCATTGAACCTAACGCAGACCCTAACCGTTAACTCAATTCCCAGTCTCACAATAACCTAAGCCTTAAGACTAACCCTACCTGTAAACGCGAAGACAAGGTCGCCCTTTTCCGTTTCAGCAGAGTGCAATTGTGCCATTTCAGCATAATACTGCCTACGCAAACCAATTCAATCGTTCAGCAGCATACTCTTCATGAGATGCTGATGCAAGACCAGGTCTTACCTACCTACATGCTTCAAATTAGAATTAATTTTGCATTCAAGGAGGCGTGTGCGTGAGGGATGAGGAAAGTGTAGTCCACAGAATTCCCTGTCGATAGGTAACTTTAAATGCAAAACGTGAACATTTGCGGAGAAAAAAGTCGGGAACAAGGTCCAACCTTGCGTTGATTTCTCGGGAGTGTTATTGGTAGACCTGCCACTTGAAGAAACGGTACCGATAGTCTCCCTTTCCGCAACCTTAGGATGAGTATCGGCTTCAGTGCGAGCTGACTTGTTGTTCACAGTAACCGAGACGTTAGCTGTCGAGAAATCATAAGCAAAGGTACGTTGGCGAAGATAACAAAAAACTAAACTTTTAAATATGTATAAATCTGTAATCTCACCGACGCCGCCGAGTTTTCTACAACTGGGTCAAATGGATTATCCAAATTCGCCAAGACCGCCTAATACTTATTCACGCCTGCTAGTCGCCTGGTGGATTGTAGACTGATTGCTTAGGAAATCCTGCTTGGCAGGCAGTTTGTTGTATCAGTGGGCTGGGCGGGTAACTTGACCTAAGTTTGATTTTACTCACAGCTACTGGCGGGGTCTCGTAGTTCAGATGGTTAGAGCACTGGCTATGCTAAAGCCATCCCCGTGCTCACGTGGGTTCGAATCCCACCGAAGCCGCCGAATTTTTAACAACTGGATCATAAGGGTTATTTAAATCTGCCAAAAGCGCCAAATAGAATTTGGGAAACCCAAACC